TATGCATCATATATCACAGTAGTTACAAAGCACAATCTTTTGTCTTTCTAGATTTAATTTTAGTGTTTCTCTTTCGCAGTGCGTATTCGTTTGTCTTTCTTTTTTGATTTTTAATTCTTTCGTTGGTACAAAATCTATTCGGAGTACGAATGAAAAATTATCGGTCGTTAAATCGGAGATGATGTATATAATTATTCATATTGTACTACAAAAAGTGCAGAGCGTGCTATATTTACTTGTTCTTGAATATAGAAAGAATACACCTTATCGCTATTTGTCCGCCATTACTGGACATCACACAGGTTCCCGTAAAATTTTGACGTCACAATACAAAATATCTGACGCCACAATGGAAAAGTGATTGTTGTATGACGTCAAAAGTTCAAGCGGGACAGATTCTCGGGTCAGCCGGGAATAGCGATAAGGTGAATTGAGAACTAACATCCTCCCCCCTCTAAAAAAAAATAAAAAATATATATACATTTATATATCAGATCAGTTCCCAAATCAAAGTCGTCTGCATTATACATATAAAGCAAATCTTTACACGTTCATTGTTTCACAGTATTAAGCAGAAACATTGTCAGTGACATTTGCCAAGAAATCTTCTTCACAGAGTACAGAAGTAACGAAGGGAGAAAGTCTTAATATAGCCTATTACTAATAGTTTAGCTTAAGAACTTTTCAGACTTAATTCATCCTGCAGATTCTAAACATCGTTTGTTTTGTGTTGCGTTTTCATAGCTGAACGCACCCTATCTTTTGTAGGGTTGTTAAGCAACATCAGGGAAATCATTTAGTAAAGATGATTCTACTTATTATTTCACTTTGGTACAAAGTACACGCCCACTTTTTTTCAAAATAATTATTAACTCTTTCAAATAAAAAAACAAGAGGAAGGCAAATGTTTTGCACCTGTGAATAAAAACTTGCTGTTTTACTTCAAAGAGAATGGATCTGAAATTCTAATTACAATCAGTAAATAACTTCTAACGATTTAATCCTTTTTTCAATTAAAATCTAAGCTTCCTTAAGCAAAGAGACATGTGCGTTTACGTACATGTCTGCATGTCTGCATGTTTGTGTTTAAGATAGCTTCCAAGATTTTAGGTGATACGTTGCGTACATGTATATGTTTTAATTAGGTTAGACTGTCTCGTTTGACTTATAGAAGGGTTGAAAAGTGTCGAAAGGTTGTTGTATGGACTACCCATCTGAACGTACATCCTTTAAAATTTATATTTGCTGCTTCTCCGATAAGCACCGTCATCCAGGAGTAAGAAAAAGACTGATCCACTCGGAACCTAAATGAGCCCGGTAAGAATGCACTTGGCAAGTTTTCCCGCGGATTGTTATGTTATGAACCAGCACATAAAACACGACTTTGCGTTTCAGTCTCGTATCACGCAGGATTCATTTTTCATATCACATTAAGCTGTTCTCATCCCGAAGATGCATGTTAAATGTGCCGCTTGATGTTAAAAATTGATCTATGATCTATCGGTCAATCAGTTTAATCGACGAGTCAGAACATCTGGACAACGACTGTCATATTACTGACCTGATAGATTTGTTTTTTTTGTCCGGAAGAGTCGGATGTTGGTGGCTGAATTAGTCTGTTGTACTGTCTATTATTTTTGTTAATTCCTGTAATTTTTTTGTTGGTACTATTAATTGGAAAAAATCTATAGAACTTAATATAGAATGGATATACGAATAAAAATCTGTTGATTTACTTAATATAGAATGGATCGTATATTCTTATGAAATATTTACCATCAAATTCATACATGTACTAGTCTATATGTATGTTTGTGTTTAACATAGATTCGATGGTCTTAGTTGATAAAATGAAAGTTACTACATGGTCATGCATCAATAGATATATGTGTTCAATAAATTTATTTAGCCTCGTTATTTTAACTAATGGTAAGGAGCTCGACGTTAGAGCGGGAAGTTTTCGATCTCCGGCCCGCTCAAACCAAAGACTTTATAAGTTGTATTTGCATCTTCTCCGATAAGCACGTTTTTGTTTCTTGTTTCTTGTTTAGAGTTTTTATCATAAATCAGGCAGTTGGTTTTCTCTTTGGAATCGTTTCACATTTTGTCATGCAGCGGAGTTTCATAGCTTAATTACGCGTTTCGTTGAAAGTTGTATGATGATCCTATGGTGGCCGGATGCGGCCATTTCACCTTTTCGCGTTTTCGCGTTTTTTCCTTTCACTTTGCAAACGCGAAATCGCATCCGGCCACCATATGATCCGTGTCTATATTTGTTTACAGTCTCGTCGGTCACTGTTAAATGTAAATGTAGTTGCCAAATAATATCGCATCCCTTATTTTCATACGGAAAAAAACCCATATAAGTCAACAAAAAAAAAAAAAAGACACTGCACCACCTTGAAACATTACAAGCATTTTACTCTAAATTTCTTTCACTTTTTGTAAGTCGATTTTGTTCAGCGTGAATCTCTCTAAACTTACTTATAATACTACAAAACTTTTTAAGAGACAGATAAAAAATGGCCGCATAACTTTATTTGCCAATCAGATACAAGCTTATTATGATAAGAGGTTACTAAACGGCTTTCTACAATTGACAAGCGCCTACATCGTGGTGTTAAACTTCTAAAAATCAATTTGTATTTGCATCTGCAATATATTGACAAGCGATAAAAATCCATCGAAAAAAAAGTTCGACATAAAAATACCTCATCTTGGAATAAATCTCATATTATTCAAATCCTGTAACTTAAAGAGTTCAAACTTCAGATGTCTGTCTTTCTCTCTCTTTATGTTTATATGTGGGGATCTGCTCTGAGCGTTCCTGATGAAGGTAAATCCAGAAAAGGGCTTCGGACGTATAAATTTGTAATGTTTTCATCTTTTTCAAAGGATAAACAGAAGTTGGGGACTACAAAACTCAAGCTAGTTTTAGTTCGTGTACACAACCTTGATTTATTAAGTATTAGATACGGAACAAAGGTAACAAAAAATAGGCTGGTAACAACCGTTGCCGTATAGTTTTTCTGCACGAGTAGTCAGGTCAAATCAGAGGCGATAGCCGAGGACATTGTCCTTTCTACTAGTGCTAAAAACGGCTGGTTGTTACCATCCCTTTTAGTTTGTTACTTTTCTAACGTATACGACGTGTACGACGTTTTTAATTAGAAAGTAATACATTTGGCATTTAAGACGATTGAGTAATCAAAAAGATTGAACACAAAAAATTTGCATTCCACGATGTTTGGAGATATTTAGTCTTTAATAAAATAGGGATTTTGCGTTACCACTAGCGCTTCTCAAGTCTATCAGCTGTGTGCGAGTAAAATTATTGCTTATTTATTTGATACATATCAGTGAAGTAGGAGTAGGTTGAAAAGCTGACGAAAAGTGGGGGGGGGGGGGGGGGGGGGGGGGGTGGTGGGGGGAGGAGGTTGTTCTTAAAGTGACAAGCAAAAAAAAAAGACCTTTAATCTCTATTTTCTATCATAATAGTCTAATAGTATAGAAATAAGTTAATATCCTCTTTCGTAGCCACTTTATATTTTAATAACAAAATAAATAGAACCACAGGTTGAGTTATAATATTTGTAACGAACTAGCTCACTAGGTAACAATCTTGCCGAACGTCGGTGGTTCTCTCTGGGTACTTCGTCTTCCTCCGTCATGAAAAACTGTCCGCCATGATATATCCAAGAGTGCTGAAAGTGGCGTTTAGTATCAGCAATCATTCAATCAACCGATCAATGAATTAAGCAAGCAATCAACTATCATCAGCTGGCAAGATGACACGTTGATCTTCGCAGGCACGTGTAATGGCTATTCTTTTTAAACTCTACATTATCTCTGCTTTAATACACCTATGTGATATTATCTACATTTAGAAAAGAATGTTACTAAACCGGCACCAGGGACGTTCGAGCTTTGGTTCTGTACATGTGTTGTTGGCCTCAGTACAATTTTAAGACGAATAACAGCCATAACGGTGCTGTTCCTATTGATTTGTTTATTAAGTGCGTATAGGATTGTGTATCATCAACTGATACACCCTATTCTATTTTTATAAAAAGAATACAATTGATGAAAGAATAGACATTCAATCTTATGGTAAAGTTGTTTTGAAAAATCCATATAAAACGTACCTTTATTACGTTGCTGAGTCCAAATTACTGGTTTTTTATTTTCCTTTTCTTTATACGTAAATGAGAGGACGAAGATATCAAAAGGATGTTCAAACTCATAAGTCAAAGAAAAACTGACAACGCCATGGCAAAAACAAAACGAAAAAAGACCAAAAGGCAAACAACAGTCTACAGAATACTACATTGAAATCTTAAAACTGAGCTACACCAACACCTCCCTAAACTGCAATTGATCTTAGATGATCCGGAAGGGTAAGCAGATCCTGCACCACATGCGACACTTGTCGCGTCAATTCTATCAAATACGTTAATAAGTCACGAGATATAATAACTAACGCTCGGAGACAACAGTTCAGCAAGGCTTTCAAAGGAATTTCCAAAACTATCCAAGTTAAAATGCCTTTCCTTGATTAATACGCATTCTTGATATGTAAATTTATCATGAAGCATAATTATGATTAAAAGCTAGTTATTCGAGCCAGACGAATGAACTGAAAAAAAAAGAAAAGAAGAAGAATCTCACTCGTTGATTAAATGAAATAGTAAAGGTGAATTTTGATAAGGAGAATATCAACCGATAAGAAGACAAATTGTGTTTGCATTTTATACTATGTTATATGTAAGTAAACAGGGACAAGAAAGAAAACAGAAACTTGTTCAAGATAATGCGGAAACAGTATCTTCTTATATATTGCTAACTTAAAGACTACTTCTTCTTTTCTAATTAATTTTACCTGTCAGAAATCGTATATGCACCAATTTAGTAGAAAACAGTACGCATCTATCTAATTTGATGAATAACTGAAAGTAAGAGAATGCGCGTGTGATAGTTAAGAAACTCTGTTATCTTATTTCGGCAGAGCTACAGTAACCGCTGAAGGATTGTACATACTATTTGCGTCGTATTGAGCATTTGCATGGTAGAACTTCTTTAATAATAAGTTTTAACATACTTATATACTCAGACATACCCAGATATGGGTACGAAAATTCAAAGCTGATTTAGAAGACTGCATTGGAATTAAGTTTGCTAGGGAAAACCAGCGTTGGCTCTATTTTATTCTATTTATTCATAGCTTGATATACGTACTTTACCTTGAACCTCGAGTTATTGTAATGCTAACTATACTTAAATTATTTTTGAAATATCTCAAACTCATAACACGGGATTAATTTGTTGATGAGGATTACACATTTTATACATTTTTATTACATTTTTGTAAATAATGACGATTGATCATTATAGTGAAAAGAGAATAATTCGCGGACCAAGTATCTCGTCAAATACATCGACAAGTGCAGGGGTTATGTCGTCACATCTTCTCGTCCCCGGAATCCATGTTTCCAGGTCCGAATCAAACCGAGAGGACTACGAACACCACTCGGGTCACCGTGTTTTACCACTTCGTGCTGGATCTTTTCGTGAACCAGGTGAACTTGAGAAAGAACAAAGGGCTAAAAGGCCTCACGTGAAATCCCGTTCTAGACACAAACGTGAATCTACAGATTTATCAAGCGATCCAGACTTTTATTTAAGCGCAGCAGCAAACCAGCATAGAAGACGAAGCAGTCTTCCGGCTAGTACGCCTAATCTACTCGATTTCTTTACCAATGATGACGCAAGAGACAACAGAGATGCAAGAGGAGACACAGCATTGCGGAGAGTCCGCTCGTTCAAAACAACAACAAAAGGAGTTGTAAACAGAGGAGACTCAGTACGGAAAAGAAGTGGACGATCTTCACGGGATGGTTCAAATGAACAATCACGATCTACAATCACGTCTAGCCCTCGACCAACACGTCATGTGCCGTTTGAAGTTAATGTTGAAAAACCTTCAGATAATTCTGCAATTTCGTCCTACTTTAAAGTTGTGGTATTAGGAGCACCCGGTGTAGGAAAAACTTCCATCACACAACAGTTTATGACGTCAGAATACGTTGCTTTTGAGAATTCCGTTGGTAAGTCTTAATTAAAACTTTTACACTTTTGAAAAGTAAGAGACAATATAAATATATATTTCTACATTGTGACCAATAGGCAGTATTTCAAAACTAATAGAATTTTAAAGAAAATGTTGTATGAACATTTTGAATACAAAATAATGTAACTTCACTAAACTTAATGGGTCTCACTTAGGCACACCTTTCTTAACACTGTTTTAATTTGTGTCTTTAAGGCCCTTTTTATTGTATGTTTGACCTGTGTGCACTTTCAGTAATTTCGGAAATATTTTTCAAGTATGCAACATTCGCAGAAAAACAATAAACGATTCTATTGATTGGAAAACTTTGGTACACATTTTTTTACTAAGTTGGTGAGTGCTTAAATGTGTTTATGAAAAAAAAAAAAAAAAAAAAAAAAAAAAAAAAAAAACACAGATCTATTTATTTTGTATCTAGGGAGAGTTTGAAGAGATAAACATAGAAAGCGAACTGTGCATAAGAAAATTGCAACTGACGTTGTTAAAGAAAATTCACATTCATTTTGATAAGTTCAAAAATTAAAATCAGTGAGATTAAATTAATACGTTAACGAGGGAGATGCCAAACACTGTATCAGCAATATTGTTGCTATAGTATTACTAAAATACAAACACATGTGTCCACTAAAACGAGATTTCAAAAAAAAAAAGAGAAGGTCGAAATCTAGAAATAAAATATTTTGATAATCCACATGTTCCTGTTCCAAACCAGGAACCTCCCCATCAGTGATTGCCTTATGTCATATCATATTTTTTGTTTAGTTATTTGCAGAATAGGTATTGATGGCAGCTCTTTAATAGTTTTTGTTTAATTAAGACTTAGTAACAAAATTTCAAAACTCAGGATAATTTTGAGCTTGACACGTCTGTCTATTGTTAAATAAAATTGAGAATGGAAACGGGGAATGTGTCAAAGAGACAACAATCCGACCAAAGAGCAGAAAACAGCCCAAGGCCACCAATGGGTATTCAACACAGCGAGAAAATCCCACACCCGGAGGCGGGCTTCAGCTGGCCCCTAAACATGAATGTGTACTAGTTCAGCGAAAATGGACGTCACATTAAACTCCGAAATATAAAAATGAAACAAAATTGAAAAAAGCAAACAATACTAACAAAGACCAGAGGCTTGGGACAGGCAGGGTTAGACATGTTTTGCGAGATCTCAAACCCTCCCCCTTTACATCTAGCCAATGTAGAATAAACAAAGACTATATGATGCCCTCTAGATTTATTTTGGTTATTTGTGGCGGTGGGTTGCTGTCTCAATGAAGTATACACAATATCTCCTTTTATTTACGTTTTATATACTATATACTCTGAGTCGTTGGGTTGCTATCGCAATAAAGTATAACCCAATATCTCTTTTTATTCCGTCTTAGCTACTATATACTTTGCGTACATTTTAAAACACTGAACAATTTTTTTTTCAAAATTGTCGTGGTACTGCTTTACTTGATTTAATTGAATTATTACATCAATGAACTTGTAAATTGGTTGAATTCTTTCAAATCAGGTTAACTTTCTGTTATAACATAATATATAAAAAATATCTTCAGTTAATCAGATTTATGTATATGTTCGCAATATCAATGCTTGATAGTAATCAAGATAAACGTGCATTGAGGTACTTAACCAGATCTTTGATAGTTTATTTTTACTTAATTCACAACTAATAAACTGGGGATGATCTTGTCTAAGAGCTTGACATAATATTTAAACACCTATCTGTTGTTGAACGTTGTACAATGTTTGCTGCCTTCTAGATGTCTTTTGGTCATTCAATTCAATTCAATTCAATATTTATTGGAAAGAGCACAATAGAGGCGTGATCCAAATACAGACAATAATAATATTAAAACAACATATAAATGAAATATTATTTGTATCATTGGGTGGCTGTCTCATCGACGAATATCCCAACTCTTCTTTATTCATAATAAATATGAAGATAGTCTATCGATGTCTGTTAAAATATCACAACTCGAGGTATAAACAAACACCTCACATACTTAGGTGCTATGTTGTGCTGTTACACTACTGTCCCAGGTTAGGGGGAGGGTTGAGCGCTCACAAACATGTTTAACCCCGCCACATTCCTTATGTGCCTGTCCCAAGTCTGTAGTTCAGTGGTTGTCGTTGGTTCATATAAAAATAAGGAGATGAGGTACACGTATGATTGCCAATTGCTTTTTTTTTATAAATTAGGCCGTTAGTTTTTTCAGTTGAATTGTGTCATATTTTTCATGTCGGGGCCTTTTATAGCCGACTATACGGTATGGGTTTTTCTCATTGTTGAAGGCCGTACGGTTGCCTATAATTGCTTACATCCACTTTATTTGAACTTTGGTGGATAGTTGTCTCATTGGCAATCATACCTCATCTCATTATTTTTATATGGGATTTAAAACAATGAAGCCAATGAACTCAAACTGAGTGAGGACAGTCAGTCTCAGATTGTTGAAATACTGGTATTTAAGTTGACATTGGTAACTGTAAAAAAAACGATTGGAAAAATCAATGTTCAATAAATACTTTTATAAATCTTGCTTCGTCTTTATGCCAATCAAAAGCTATTTTTTTTATTTTTTTGGTTTGCTCCGTCATTCATCAATTTGATGTTATAAAAAAAGTAAAACCAAACACGAAGAATATTTCATTAAAAATGTCCTTCCTGGATTGTGTATATTGTTAGGTTATCATCTCATTGACGTATACCTCACATCTTCTTTTATGTATTTTTAAATAGGCTACACTTCTAAAAAGTAAAATAAAAAAAATACCAAACTCCAAGGAAAATTCAAATGGTAAAATCAAAAGTTCAAACACATCAAACGAATGGAAACAACTGTCATATTACGGACTTGGTACAGGCGTATCCTTATGTAGAAAATGGTAGATTAAATCTGGTTTTATAGCTACATGTAGATAAACCTCTCACTTGTATGACAGTCGCATAGAATTCAATTATATTGACAACAATGTGAGCAAAACAAACAGACATCGATAATATTAGGTAGAAATGTCAAAAATTGGGTTACAGTAGTCAACATTGTGTTATAATCTTAATCAATATAAAAACAAATAACTATATAACAAATATTTCTAAATTATAGCTTAATATCTAAACTCTTGATAGAGATGAAACAGCATATCACAAACTGTTACACTATTAACAGAGCTGTACTAAAGAAAACAATTTCTGTTTATAATGTTTCCTGGTCGACTGTACTAACATCTGGCAGAACAACTCCATCTTCTTCTGAATCTTATTGATTGCAATAGGTAATTAAGAATGACAGCCCACGATGTTGTAACATGACACAACAACTGCATGTATGATACATAATATACTGCATACAATTAACCCTTTTCACTTCACCTTAAGATTTTTTTAATATGAGGAGATTCTATTGGGTCCATCTTGAAAAAGGTGGTTACACATTTGATTTTTACTGGGAAAATATTGTATGCATTGACATTGGATAACGTTCGCATACTGTAAACCAACTTATCATCGCGCATACTTAATTTCGCGTTCAGTTCTTTTAGCCAACTTAACAGCGATTTATTTTTGCGAACTTCTCATTTTCGTGGTATATTATATAAGAGAAGATCCAAGTTTCACATTTTCGCAACGATTTAAATTCGCGTTATTTTTCCAATCGCAAAAGTCGCAAAAAATAATTTACTCTCGGCAATTAATTGGTTTACCGTTATAATTAACGTTTACATAACCATGTATAAGAGGATCAGCACAATTGTGTTCTTCGTCGTGAAAACTTGAAAAGGCGATCAACGCATGATAAAGATGACCTCTAAAGTTGACTGAAAATAACCGATACATTTACATGTTAACGAAGCGTGTGTGTCATACATTGATGACCAGCGCAAATCTGTATTGTGGACAATATGACAATATAGCTACATTTGACAAATGCAACTGTATTCCGACAAGTAGTTAGCCAATTAAGTAATATATGATTTATTTGTTCTTTTTTGTAGACTATTCTATTTTTACATTTTGATATCAAAAGCAGAAAAAAAATTCTTCGGGTCAACAGGTATATTATTTTTGTCGTGTTGTGTCTTCTTTCATTATTGGTGTTTCAGAAGTGTGTTAACACATGAAAAAGTATTCGACCACCATGAAGGGAAGACGTTTTTAAACCTCCCATATTACATCACCCAAAGTGTATACATTGCGTTGACACGGACAGTCGTCTTAACAAATGTATAAACATAGTAGTTTAGAATAGCAAATCCATTAATACAATGATAATTATATTAAACAATGTTTTTAAGAAATCTGATGGAACTGTTTGTGGCACTTGCTTCTTCAGTGTCATTGTTTAGATTTATGAAACTGTTAAATCATTTCTATGGTTAAGACGTGCTATTTTCAGCAAAAATTATTTAGACGAATCCTGTAAAATCACTCACTCAGTAATTAATAAAGAGATCGCATTATGTTTTCTTCTTTTATAAGTTCTCCGTATTACACAGATGAAGTGACCTGATTTTTTTTTGCAATATAATGGATTTTCCTTAGATTCCCTAAAATCATGACTGTTATGAATGATACTTACTATTCACGCGCAAAATGGATGATAGAAATGTGATTTTGTCGTTTATTTTTGAACTTTAGATAACTATGTTAGTTTCTTTGTTTTTTTTATTAAGTCGGTGATATTGTTTAAATGTTATGTGCGATATATTTTAATTAGTGCATATTGGTAGTTCTGCAGATACGCAAAAGTGCAACAACATGCATGTTACTGTTGTGGTGATATGATCAACGAGTACAGATAAATGTAATTAAACAAATCTTGCAACAGTTTCATTTAACCACGACTTCTAAATTATGTGTGCTCTGCGATCATTGCAATGTCGCGCAAACTCTTGTATTGTACCTAAACATTTTTTATTTTCAAAAGATATGAACCAATGACTTTTGATTTTATGATGCAGAATTGCGGGTTAACTTTGTCAGAGAGAGAGAGTTGAAGCATCGCTGAAGAGACATTAATGGTCGAATGCGCATCTGGTGCAGTAAAATTGGTACTTTTAATGTTACTAAATCATGCTAATACCCAAGTAACTAGTAAGTGAGTGGCCTGACAGCTAACAACTGCTTATGAATTGTCAGAATGTGAAAGATGAATACGATCGCCATTGCAAGTTCCTTCTGATCAGAAATAAATCGGGAAAATACTGCAACGTCTAATTTATGCGACTTCGAACTTAACGCTTGACCTCACAGTGTGGTGTAAGAAATTCAGTTTGTGCGATTTTCCCATTAACTCGATCAGTTGCCTTGTACTACCGTGTTAAAACGTCACATCTTATGACATTGGCATTTCAAGACTGTTTGTTACATGGACAATATCTGATGTCAGAAACACTATTTGATCGTATTCTATATGTTTGTGTTTGTTTCTTCTTCATTAAATAAACCAATGGAATTATGTGCACGCGGTTTGTGTACTTTCCATTTCAATTGGTACAGAAAGTTTTTCGGTATTCTTCATTAACACAATGAGACACAGTGTGCCATCCATCCATCTAAATCTAGTCGTGTTCATTTCACAACTTGTACTGTTTGCTAGAATGTGTTATTGTTTTTCTTATTCTAATGAGCATATTCTCGCTTTAACACAAACGTTAACTTACTTTGACATGGTTACAGATACCACAAACGTTTGAATACTTTCATTTTTTAACAGTCGTTTTAAAAGTCTTATATGTTAAAAATATTCAAATAAGACGGGATTTCTTACCCTACGATCGAATTTTATTGTTTTGTCTGAATGAGTAAAAACCATTGAAAACTAATGTACATGTATTTACATTTTTGATAGTTCTTAATTACATCCGTCAACAACAAATGCTAAATGAGTAAAGTTCGTTTTACTAACTAACAGTTTAGTTTAGACTGTTCTTTCTACCGATAGTCTGACAAACTGCAGACATATACGTCTGGTTAAATTAAATCGCCTAGGAGATTTCATGACACCAGTTAGGCATTTAACCAAAAGAGGTTACTACCTTAGCTAGCTCGGCCTCGAGCACCACTGAATATACATTGACTGTCGAAATACGCATTTGCTGCATTACAACTATTGCCGTTAATGTGATTAATACCAATGGGTCGATACCTCTGCTGATGTATAGAAATTGTAATACTTTTATCCCGATGAAAGGAGAGAAACATTCATTTGATTTCCTTTATCAATATCATTTGATTATATTGATGGTGTTTTCTTTTTGCAGACCAGGAAGAGAATTTGGTCACTGTCCAGTTAAATGGAGAGGAAAGCACTCTTGAGTTCCTTGATGCAAGTGATAATGAAGTGAGTAAGATCAAACAATAGAGGACCTTTTTAAATGTGTAGGCGTCGTCTCCGTTCATTTCACAAACACTAAATTTAAATCGTCCGAATAGACGATAAGTCAACAATATGTAATAGCTTTATCAGTAGACATTTACGGAAAGTCTCGGTATCGACTAATGACACCGATTCTGACAGGTAAAATGAAGGGTGTCGACTCAAAATTTAAAAAAAAGTACTAAATGATTAGCTTTTCAAGGTAAAATTTGCAAATAACAGTTAAACAAGATTTTACACAACGATTAATTTAATCAAATAAGGTTTGTCATCTGTTTACAAATCCTGCACAAGTCTCCACAATTTGTCTGAGTTTTTGTCTTGGGTGTCTCTACAAAGTACCCATCACTTTATATTTTTTTAGGTCACCCATGGCATATTCGATAAGAATTCTATATTCTGCAATGATTCTATTAAATTTCGACTCTTGCGTTTCTGGTGATCAGGTTTTCTGTTGATTTGCTGTCGCATAAATGGCGTAATTACAGGATGCCGATTTGGATAAATTTTATCTCCTAACAGCATATTCTTCTGGAAAAAATATAGCGATGCATCGGCTCCAATCTGTCTCATCATCCTATACTGCTGCGCATCATTTTGGTGGACTAAAAATCCGCCTTCGACATAGCAAATGTTTCCCACGTTGTCAGCATATCACTTGCGTATGTATGGCGTGGTAGTGACGATGACCAGAAAAATACAGTTCTTGTGGCTCAATTTGTGGCCTATATATCTCTACAGAAGTGCCGTCGATTGCACCGACAGCAGCAGGGAGTTTAGGGAGCTACCATTTGATTTTTATGGGGGGGGGGGGGGGGGGAGATGAAATTTGAAAAATAAGGCAGGACAGGAGATTTGAGTAAAAAAAAACAGGATGACACTTTATGTAAAAAAAGTCAGGATAAACTAATAAAAAAAGGCAGGACCGAATAGAGTGAAAAATAAAAAGGCAGGACAAAATTTTTCATCCTAGCCCCCCCATATTTTCAAGCAATATGGTCAGCACTGATTATATATTCCCGCTTCTCCCACACCACTTGTTAACTTAGGGAGCTAGCTACCTTTTAGACTTTTTATTTATTCGTCCTACATTTTATTTTCAACAAATATCGAGTATTTTCAACAAATATCGAGTCTGACGTTTTTTCTTACTTGATGTTCCCTTTATTTTCATATCTGTAAAACTATGGCATTATAGATGCTGCAGGGAAAAAAATCATTCAAAATAACGTATCTGGCTTCATATGCATGTGTATGAGTTTGACGACATATCCGATTGAAATGTGCTGTTACGAAAACTCTGGATTCAAATTATGATTCTTATTGTCGGTAGAGTGATGATATGCTCCGTTTATGGACTCCTTATGAATCAAGTGCGCCGCTAAATTAGCTTTTGAGACGACCCCTGTAATTTTTGCTGTCAGTGTCGGAGTCAACAGTCGGAACCGAGACTTTCTGTAAATCTCTAGTAGGAACTTATGTTGTCACTATACTTTCCAAATTGTGTGATGTGCATGAAAGGTCACATCTTCTATATGATGTCAAAACATCGGATATCTATCTATAATATATAGATATATAAATAAAAAACAAAAAAACAAAAAACACACACACACAAAGCAAAGGAACAGCGCTTTAATTGCTGTTCTTCATTTCAAAGTCACAGTGAGGCCTTCAACACTGAGCAAAAAAAAAAAAAAAATCTCCCACCTCACTGCAAGTTTAAGACGACCCCTAGCACCGGCTTTTAAGAGCGGAATTCTTTGCAAAAATAATTTTGATAGACTTTTTGGTTTGTTTCTCTATTAAATGTTTTATATCTGCATGCTACAAATTAACTTCTACGTGTATTGGTTCTAGACATGACATTGGTTGGATAAGAAACAAATGCCTTGTTTACAACGCATGTAGTTATACAATTATATTGTATGACAGACAAGCTATCTGTTAAGACAAATGACAAATATATAATAATACGAATTAGAAAAGACATGTATACATGAAAGAACAGTATATCATGAATTTGTAGGAATAAACAACATATGCTTCATCAAAAAAACCTTTTGACTTATCTTAATGTATAATATGTTATCTCAGGAATTTTTATAAGATTTTATCTATACATGCTTTTATCTTGATAAGCCATCTGCAATATACAAAGAAATATCACTAGAAATAATCCAAACTGCCAATCATATGACAACCTGAGTTTGATACACGCCCTGCTTGGCATTTATTATCTGTGAAATATGAAGTAATATGACAAAAACCATTATGTAACAATATAAAGAATGAATGGTTGTACCGTGCTTTTTTGGGTATAAAATGATCATCTTTAGTGCAAATATTGATACAGAGACTTACATGTAGCTGAGGCGAAAAGATGTTTATAATTGTACTGTGCATTAAAAATGTGTATTACTGACCAAAACCACTACTACATGGGTACATGTAACAATGAGGTTTCTACGAATACACACAATCTATAATAATTTATTTTTACACAAGAGGAGAATTATGTATATCATATAGTTCTTCTTGAAAGTAAATCAAAACTTTAAAAATGCAATCTGAAAGAGGACTTTAAATTTAGACGAAACCCAGTGTTAGTAGAAAATGACACGGGACAGATCGAACAATATGTAGAACATAACACAGAACGCAATACTGAGTTGACACCCAACAATAACATATACCACAATTACGCTTACCTATCTAATATTTCAAATTCCTTATAAGAGACGGCAATATATTATATATGACATGCATTTTAACAACTGTTTAATAATCGATTTACTCCAAGCAGATTTTCTATGAAATTTCTCCTAAATGTCATAAAAAACCAAAGTTTATAAAGTATTTTATGAAATCTAATTTGAATATGGGAAAAACACATTACTTTTATTCGCTTTTGAACTTTGAATTATAGTAATTATCGGGAGGCGTGTTGCGTTAAGTCAATGTATTGTTGTTACCGGTACGTTACTTTTATAGGGCTTAGAAATAGAACAATGGCATCCATTAATGATTAATATTTTCTGTACCAAGTCAAGAATATCATTTTATCTAATTTCTAAACAAATGAAACTGTGTATTTTAATTTGACAGGACAGTCTGGTGTTTGGTTTTCAACTGTAATTTTTCTACGAATATTTAAAGAGTAATAGAGTTCTTGTTTCCGTACTGCCTTTATCAGCAAATATATCATGCGAGACGGCAAGGGCGATCTTCATACGAAGTTATTATCAAAATTATAAAATGCCAATATTCTTTTTATCGGTAATATGTCATAACAACATGTTTCTTTGGTAGAATATGAGGTTGCCTGAAGTAGGTAAAAAGACTTTTTTTTACATGTACAAAACGTTACGACATTTGTGACGCGAATGGATATTAAAAAATTACGTGAGGTCATTGCCTAATATTTCCGAGTATCACGTTTTATCGGCGATAAAAAAAAAGTACAATTGGTCAATGGGAAAATATAAAGAGGTTAATAGTTAAGAATTTCCCTGATTCTACACACCGGTTTCCATTTTACACAGTAATCAATTTTGACCGGTTTTATTGTATATAATGGTATATTTAGATCGACGGCTTAGATTGCGACGAAGTCAATGCCTAATAGGGTCAAGTAATTTGAAAAATAAAGAATTTTAAATTAATTTCAATTTATATTTTGTATAATTTTATATTTATATAGGTTAATCTTGAAAACATTCGTGCAGATGCTTACATAATAATATTTTCGATTCCACATCGTGATACGTTTGATACAGCAGTTGACCTTATGTCCGAACTGCGGATGGACATGGGCATAGATAGAACAGTTATAATGGTTGGAAATAAGTTAGACTTGGTCAGAAAGAGGAAAGTCAAAACAGAAGGTACATTTAATATCACAGAGTATTCTTAAGTAGGCATTATCTTTTTTTGATGTTCGCATGGTTGTTTCCGTTGTTATTGACTTTATCAGCACACATATCATGCGAGACTGCAGTGGGAGCTTAATAATGAATTCAGCATGAAAAAATAAAATGCCAACATTTTTTATCCGTTATATGTCATACATGTAACAATATGTTTCTTTGTTGTGTTGATGTCTAACTGCAATGATTCAACGTCTTCTTTTAAAACGATTTATTTGTAAAATATTTCGTGAAACTATATCTTTACATCTGGGGAATATTAGCGTCCATTAAGTTAAGTAATTTAAGACTATGATAAACTTTTACAACTCTTGAAAGACTGCCGTTAGTGCTTACCATTAATTTATTTGTTATACTCTAGATAATACAATTTAATTAAGACATCTCGTGTTAGCATTTCAGTATTTATCAGAATTAAAAAAATATTGACGATGATGTTGCTACAATGTATCCTCTTACACGATCTAATTTATTCTTTTCGAATCGAATTACTTTTTGTAAATTAATTTTAAAGATACATCAGATTTGTGAGCACAATAGCTTCACACTATGTGAACTTTCATAGAGCGATCATTTTTCAAATCCTGTTCAGGGAGGCTCCCGTTCTTTTTAAAAAATAGCAGTCCTTGGCACGATACACGAATTAGGAAATAACAGAATGATATTTACAGATTTGTAGGCATCAATTCTCAATTTGATAGTCGCAAATTGAGTTTATTGGCGAAATCTAAGCGGAACTATTAAACGCTATTTGTGAACATCAATCTGATGAGGAATCTGATGTTCAGTAGTTGTCGTTTGTTGATGTAGTTCATAAGTGTTTCTCGTTTCTCGTTTTTTATATAGATTAAACCGTTGGTTTTCCCGTTTGAATGGTTTTACACTAGTCATTTTTGGGGCCCTTTATAGCTTGCTGTTCGGTGTGAGCCACGGCTTCGTGTTGAAGACCGTACTTTGACCTTTAATGGTTTACATTTATAAATTTTGACTTGGATGGAGAGTTGTCTCATTGGCACTCATACCACATCTTCTTATATCTATCAAATAAATAAAGATGCCCAAAACTCTGCAAATACTATACTGTTCCGAAGGAACACCACTAATAATACAATCTAAAATCGGTCTTTTTCTGTTAAAATGCCAAATTTCTTATTCAAATGTTTTTGCAAACTTCTGAAAGTGACAATTTAAAAAAAAAATAAATCTATCGTCCAATAGTCTAAAAATTACTCAGTGAGTGGCCTCTTTCATTTTCCAATTTTATTTTCAATAAAAAAATGTATTTTGCCAAAAAATGTGTGTGCGTGCATACCAAAAGTAATAAAATTCCAATCGGTTGAAAGTTAAGCAAGTTGCTCTTGTATATTTTACAGTCCGTCTCTCCTAAGAATACAGAAACAAGTTTACTTCACAAAAATGATATATCTAAAAATATTACAATCGGCACAAAAAGAGTGCAGTCAAAATTTAAGAGCAGTATGTTATAAATGGTTTAAGCATTGACTGTTGATCAACTAGTCCGTCAGCAGCGGTATTGACCCAGATATCAGATACATGTAAGAACATTGATGAAATAATCAGCACAAACAAAAACAAAAACAAACAAAAAAAAAACCAATCACACTTGCACTGTATTGCAACCTAATTTCTTTTATATATAATATATTAATACACGCAGTAACCTCTTTAAATACTACATCACTTTTCATTTATCAAATTACAGGTTCAGTCATTTAAGATAAAATTTACAAAAAAGAGTGTCCTATAATTCCTTACACGTGTTTAGTTTTCACGAGGCTTTTTTGTTTATAAATCAACAATTCTTAGAGTTACAGATTGGGAGTTCGGTTTTTGATTAAAAGCTGTCGTTACGATATTATTTTCCAATGTCATTAAAACACGTGTCATCAAAGAGAAATGTACCTGTCCTATGGGAAATTCTCAAGTATATGTAGTTTATTTTTCACTGTTTCCTGACATACTTTTTCAACAAGGACTCTGCACTTGAAGTACAAACGCACTAAGATTAGTTTAGCTGCAAAGGAGATACAGTCCTTACTGAATAGATATAAAATTGCAATCTTTTGAAATATATACTGCATGCTATTCTTATTGTGATGTTCTGTTGTTAATCTTGTAGCCTACTCCTCCTAAGAATACAAAACGAAAGAAGAAAGCAGAATATGTTTAAATAAAAGGAGTATGTGTTTGAGGACACGAATGCCCTCGCTCAAGTTTGCTTATAATATGTGAAAATACTTTTGGGACGGACGGAAGACGGAAGTCAAGGGTAACACTTCAATCCCCCTTCGCCTAGCGGTGGGGGCATAAAGATACGCCTGATAAATAAAGATTACAAAATTGACATATATATTTCACAAATTACGAAATAGTGTGGCACTATGGAAATGTAAGTGTGTTTGACGTTCTGATTGGTTTAAATGTCTGTCTATTGAAAATGTAAGTAGACGTGTGCAGAATTTTAAAAGAGAGGCGAAGGATACCAAAGGGACATACAAACTTATAAGTCGAAAATACACTGACAACGCCATGGCTAAAAATAAAAGACAAGCAGACAAACAACAGTACACAAAACACAACATAGAAAACGAAAGACTCAGCAACACGAACCCCACCAAAAACTGGGGTGATCTCAGGTGCTCCGGAAAGGTAAGCAGATCCTGCTCCACATGTGGCACCCTTGGGTTGCTCATGCTAGCACAGACCCGGTGATCAGTCTAATTCGGTAGGTCACATTCGGGGAAAAGGGAACGGGATTGTAGTGACGACAGTTGGAACATATCCGTTGTCATCTGTGAAACGGATATTCCATAACGGTCAACCCGTGATGGCGTCCGTAAAATAATTTCAACTTCTTCAATTGGAACTTTTGGTTTAATAGCTTCTTTGTGATCTTCCTTTGTTTATAAATCACGTTTAAAATCAAACGTGTTCTCACCAAGGTTTTATTTATAAAAATAATCAATGACAGTAAATATTAGGATAAAAGGAAATGTGAAGAGAAAAACAAATTTTCTACTGTCAGAATATATTTTGTTAGTCACGATTTGTGTCAGTATTATCCCACTTCTGTAACTACACCCACTTTGTTGTTAATCATTTTAGAATTTTCTCATTCTGTTTAATGAAGTAATGATACATTCTATTATCATCGTAAAATTTTTATAATGTCAGTTGAAAAAAGGAACGTGCATTGTGCTCGGTATTATCACAAATAATGAAAATCAACAATGACAATGATTAAGATAATCAACTTGTTCGGGGTAAATGTTTTACTCTTTTTCATTACTTCTGTCTTTTTGCAGGTTGTGTTCAATCTATTGTATATTTCTATCAGAAATCAACAATCGTTTGTGGAAGTTATCTTTGTTTTACTAAAAGATGTTTAAGTTTTAGATTTTCAAATAGTTTGGCTTCGAACATCACTTAAGAAACATTAATTGTCGAAATGCGCATGTGATGCATAAACATTAGTACCGTTGATGTAATTGTAAGCACGTTGGTGTGGGGAGCGGTTATTCAAAGACTTTGATGAAAACCTTATTGAAACAACATTTACCTGAGATCACCCCAAGTTTTTTGTGGTGTTCGTGTTGCTCAGTCCTTTGTTTTCTATGTTGTTTTATGTACTGTTGTTTGTCTGTTTGTGTTTTTCTTTTTTAGCCATGGCGTTGTCAGTTTTGTTTTCGACTTATGAGTTTGAATGTCCCTTTGGTATCCTTTTACATCGTATGAACATGTCATGTTTGAAACGTTAAAATGGAGCAATTTTTTCATGTTCTTTAAAAAATAATAAAAAGTACACAATGATGTGAAAGAACATAGCTACATAGACATTTGATTGGTCGAAAATATCCCATGTGATACTGAACAAATTAAACAATTTAAACAGAATTTGGAAGATTTATCCATTTGTCGACTAAGTTAAATTCTCACCGCTTTGAATTTGCGATTTCATGCTGGTATTTATATAGGTACAATCTTAGTCCTATGAATCGAGTTCAAATGAAGAATTAGCGGTAGTTTTATTTTCGCATATCAACTTTTACAACGAAGATAGCGAAAATAACACTTCCGCGAACATTTGCCTATTCACAGTAACACATTACACAAATAAAACCCTGAATATCAATTTTTATTCCAATAAAAAAGTACATGCAAGTTAAATCCTTAATAAGTTATATTTATACTGAGTGTGTTTACTTTAAGGTGTGCTGTGTGTATTATAGAATTAATTGCTTAAGAGGTAAACAACGTTTTGAGGTTTTTGCCTATGTCCTTGAGAAAACACAAATTTCCTCGGAAAAATAAATCTTCAATTCTCCGAAAAGCACGGAAAGGACCTTGCTGTATTTCGTCTAGTATTAAGTTGTTTTCCGATATCAGGAAAAAGACCTTTTGTTTTTTTTTTTCTTATTATAGCTTTCTTCAGCTGTTTTTATTTTCTTGATATTTCGACGTTTTGTGACATATTGATAACACTTTTAGTGTCTTTTTTTGTCTTCAGCTGTTTCTTGATATTTTGAGTGTATATTGATCATGCTTTTTCTGGAACACATTTTTGATTTTGTTCTGACATTTTGTTTTCAGCTGTTTCTTGATAGTTTAATGTACAATGATCACGCTTTCAGTAAAAGGACCTTTTCATTTTATTCTGAGTTTGTTCTGACATTTTGTCTTCAGCTGTTTCTTGATAATTTGATTGATATGGATCCCGCTTCTCTGACATTTGGTTATTATTCGTTTTTGTTACTTGATATTTTGTTGTTTTGCAACATTTTGCAACATAATTACACATTGTATGTACAAAATACCCTGCCACGTCCGGTCTATGTTTTTCTGCTTTGTATCGTTCTAATGAGGTAGGTATTTTTGTCATATAGCTCTTCAACTGTTTCGGTACTTATACATCCCTCGGATTTCAAATGTTTGGCATTGAGCGTTCCTGATGAAGGAAAATCCAGAAAAGCGCTTCGGACGCATGAAATGTTTAAACGTGTTGTTTTCAATTTTTTACACCACTGGGTCGATACCTCTGCTGGTGGACTATCGGTCCCGAGGGTATCATCAGCTCAGTAGTCAGTACGTCGGTACTGACATGATTTATAACAAACTTTTCTAAAATTGTCCGTTTATAAATTTTAAAATTATAAAGAAACTAAGGTTTCAACTCCCTCAGCCAAAGTTGACCTTAGATGAATTTAGCTATTTGTTTTAGGTATTTTTGTCATATAACTCTTCAGCTGTTTCGGTACTTATACATCCCTCGGATTTCAAATGTTTGGCATTGAGCGTTCCTGATGAAGGTAAATCCAGAAAAGCGCTTCGGACGCATGACATTTTTAAACGTGTTGTTTTCAATTTTTTAAGACGTTTTCAACTGATTTTTATAGTTTGTTTTTATGTCGTATTGTTATACCACTGTCCCGGGTTAGGGGAGGATTGAACGCTCACAAACATGTTTAACCTCGCCACATTACATTCTTTATGTTTCTGTCCTAAGGCAGGAGCCTGTAGTTTAGTTGTTGTCGTTGGTTCATGTCTGTCATATTTGTTTTTCGTAGATTATTTTGCTATACATTAGTCCGTTAGTTTTCTCAATTGAATTGTTTTATATTTTTCATGTCAGGGCTTTTTATAGCCGACTTTACGGTATGAGTTTTTCTCATTGGCGAAGGCCGTGCGGTTGCCTATAATTGCTTACATCCACTTCATTTGAACTTGGATGGATAGTTGTCTCATTCGGAATCATACCATATATCTTTATTTTATTCAAAGAGTAATAAATCAAAAGCGAATGAGCATGAAGACAAGGTCAATGTCAAAGGCTCTGTTGAAAAATTGAGTAGCAGGTATGTTATAAAGTCTATCTTTTTCAGCAGTCATAAAAACTTAGTTTGAAGATCAAGTTAAATTAAGGAATGTATCTCTCTCATACAAAGCTCTGATTCCTTGCTCAGCTTTGGCTATACTTTTTTGTCCTGATTGGGTTATAGCTCTTCATGTTTTAATAAACTTTGGGTTTTCAAATATTTTGGCCCCGAGCATCACTGAAGAAACATTGATTGTCGAAATGCGCATCTGGTGCAGAAAAATTGGTACCGTTTATGTTATTAACGTGAATGTTATCCTATGAAAGATTGCAGCCAGTAAACTTATCACAAGTAAATTTATTTTAACCAGTCAAAAGTTATGGTAATTAAGTTAACTTGCTGCACAGGTATATACCCCGTAGGAGTCAATGTGATCTTTCTAATTGATGAATTAATTTCACACAAATTAGAGGTGAAAAAACCTTAATTTTGTCTTAAACATTTTTTACCAGTCTACGCGACATATCCAAATGACGTTTAGTATTCAAGGCTCTATTCGTCGTAAACTTTGGTCCGATTATCACACACATATAAGCTCCGCTGTTCACTAATAAGAGTTATGACCCAAAATCACCGAACGCATTTTAAACGGTACTCCTCGTAAACATTGACAGACAATTTGATCGAAATATTTTGATTTACCCTCAATATTGTTAAACAAAGGAACGTTGTGCCTAATCTGGATTCGAATTGTAAATACTACATTTTTATTCATAATGTTGGTACGACTATTAAAAGAAAATTTGTCAATAATTATAAATTATAAATATGGTCTCATCATATGAAACTTATTCATGTACCACATCATCTAAATATCATGCAAAAGATGATTCTTAGTTTGAAAGAATACAAAAAATTATTTTTGATATTTAAATTTATTCATGTGAATCACGTTTGTTTGAAAATTGCATAATTGTTATATAAAAAAAAAAGGTAATTTAATAAAAATTCATTGGGTGTAAAAGTGTTGCCTGAAGCACGTTTAAAGCCTGGTGGCGTTTTAACAACCCTTTAAAGCTACAAAAAGAGACAGTTTATTCTTTTAATTTCATTTCAATGCAAAAATCAGGAAATTGTGAGTTTGAGGAGACCTTTCGTTAACTTTAATTTGCATTAAATAGTCACACTAATTATAAATGATATAAAGTTGTCATCAAGCACGTGCAGTGATTGAGACATTAAAGTACTATTTTTAGTATCAATTTAAAACACCATATTATTGTTGTCTGACAAATAACAAATGGCGTCCTTGACAGAGACACTTCCAATGTAACGAAATCTTTGTGAATGATGCATGACATGCATGAGTTATAATATAGAGTATTAAAAAAAACCAAATATTGTAATTGAATTAACACTAATTATAAATGATATAAAGTTGTCATCAAGCACGTGCAGTGATTGAGACATTAAAGTACTATTTTTAGTATCAATTTAAAACACCATATTATTGTTGTCTGACAAATAACAAATGGCGTCCTTGACAGAGACACTTCCAATGTAACGAAATCTTTGTGAATGATGCATGACATGCATGAGTTATAATATAGAGTATTAAAAAAAACCAAATATTGTAATTGAATTAACAACACAATATCCCTTTGTTGCATTTTAACAAGTTTCAAATGGGACAATAAACCTGATGAGTCAATATTATTTATGGTCTTAACTTGATGTTCAGTAGTTGATGTGGTTCATAAGTGTTTCTCGTTTCTCGTTTTTTATATGGATTAGACCGTTGGTTTTCCCGTTTGAAAGGTTTTACACTAGTAATTTTTGGGGCCCTTTATAGCTTGCTGTTCGGTGTATCCAAGGCTCCGTGTTGAAGACCGTACTTTGACCTATAATGCTTTACTTTTATAAATTTTGACTTGGATTGAGAGTTGTCTCATTGGCACTCATACCACATCTTCTTATATCTATTAAAGTGAGGAACAGTGTGTAAAAATAATCATGATTTTGTAAACCAAAAATCCTTCCGCCATGCTATTGGCTATTTTGAAGAATTCACATCACTAGACATCGGTGCTGTTAATGTGTAGAGGGTCTTTCAATAAAGCGGTAAAAGCGAAAGCGATATTAGATAAATTCCAAAGAATATCAATGGGTACAAATTCCGAGAAGACCGTTCAAAAAGACGTTTTTGGCTTCGCAATTTATAGAAATTTTATCTCATATGATATCCCGATAATAAAACCACGTATTTGAAAAATGTGAAAGCTTTGAATTAAGCTTCCATACATAACCAAGTTTACAATATGGACAACGTAGTTGAAGAAAATAAAATTTTGTCCATCTACCTAAAATGAATTACCTCGCGTATTTATCAATATGGGAAATGAAGTACAAATGTAAAAGGTTAAAATCGACAGAAAGTATGTGTTAGGTATAATACTGGTTTTCATCGCCTTACATTGTGTTATTAATTGTGTTTTATTTTTATAGAGGCACAAGAAGTCAGTAAAATGTATGATGGGAAGTATATAGAAGTGTCTGCTGGACTAAACCATAACATAGATGAATTATTAGTAGGAATACTGGGGTCTATTCGATATAAACTAAATCCATCTTTGACAGATCCAGTCCTACGTGTTGATACAAAGAAAGCAGGAATTTCAGCTTTGTCAATGAAAGGACCAATCAATTTCTTTGGAAGACTGTTCCGGCGTGTCAGTAAGAAATCTAGGGGAAGAAAGAAGCGCCACCATACGGTAGCGTAGTGCACAAAGTATTATACTGTATTGTAGAAAAAAATATTTATATTTTTGCATTTTTTATATGTTTATGTTTGTCTAAGCTGTATTTAATGTTTTAAATGTTGTCTTCATTCAAGCATTATGGAAAATGTATAATTTATAGCATAAAATTATGACACATTGACTAATTGAAAAATTGATCAACCGTTTCTGGAACATTCGATTCATACTTTTCTCACAGTTTAACCATGTTAACTAAAAAATAATCAATCTGTCTAAATATTCAACAATTATTACGTCAGAATGGTAACTATCATACCGAAATTCTTCAATATCGCAACACTTAATCTAAGGACATGAACTATAACTGTTTTCTACAATAATGTGTAGCGAGACTTCATTTGAAAGTCTTTATTCGTCGGTTTGATTTTTTTTTAAATAATAAGTGCTTACATTTTTATCCATCAAAGGAATAGTTTAAATCTTTGTTGTGAAAGGTTAAAATCTGCGTATAATATTTTAAATTGCATAAAAAGACATGAAAGTAATGCAAACAATCTTAAAGTCCTAAAACTTTCTTTTTGGCATAATAGCAGATATGGTATGCAGTGGTATTTCATTTATGTTATTTTAGAGTTTTGTGAGTAAAATACGCCTTTTAACATTTGAATTTCAGCGGATTACAAAAATCTTGAAAAGTATGAAATATATGATTTTACCATGTATGTACTACTATGTCATTATATACATTTTTTTCTCTAATGATATTAATATATTAAATCAGCTGGGTCGCTGTAATGTTAAAATGCTATTATGACAAATAAATCGACGTATTGTGTAATTGAGGTCTTGTAGCATAAGGTAAATGTGATTAAAAGGAGAGATTATAAATCATCCGGTTTTGCTTCCCCTTTAGCGTCCTGTCATCAAAATAAATAGATCGAACTACAATATACATTTGTTATTTAGTTGGATTAACACTTTATGCAACTTATATGGTTGTTTTTATGGTCAGCTAAGGTAAAAGAATAATTTAACGTGAATTTCAATGAATTTCATGTGATATTAAAATGTTAGAAAATATACAATTTATGATATCTTTTTTTCTTTTGAAAACAAATAAGAAAATTGTTAATATTGCTAAAATTGCAAGTTTAGTAATTCAAAACGTAAATTCAAGTGATGTCAATATATATAAATATTCTCAGTCCTGTTACAAATACATTTTTCATTTAAAATGTTCATTAATCATCGATCATCCAGGCTGGGCTATGGTGCAAATACTTGAATAGTAATATGTAATATTATTTTTGTACATAACAGTTTAAAGTGTGTTTATGTTTTTTACATCACAAATACATGTAAGCTTTTGGATAGCAACATATGCATTTTTGTATCTGATGCATTAGATTTGTAAAATATATGCTTGGATCATCATTTTCATTGCCGAGAAGTTATTTTCAACTACGTCTGGTTTCAGATTTGTGTGCTTAAAAAATTATAACTACAAATCTGTCCACAGAAACCTAAGTAAATTTATTTTTAAATATCAGTTTGTCTGTTGGTTTACGTTATGTTAGTACACAACTAGTTCTTTTTTCACCTTCTTTAGTACCTGTTGTAAAACAGTATAATTCTTATTGAATTTTGTTTTACCTTAGAGATCTGTTTCACAATACTGTTATTGCCTTTAATTAAATTACTGCAACATTATACCAACTTACGGCAAGTGACCAACAATCCTCTAACCTTTTCACAATTCTGTCATTAATTTACATCAACAGGGTATACTATATGTTTGATTATTGTACTAACGGATAAGTTAACATTTAACCATTGTTGATGTCCATTTAGTGTCTAAGAAGAAACCAAAATGTAACACTAAAGACAATAAAGTATTTTATATTGTTTAACTAGATTTATGTTATACTTAGTAGGAATTACAATTTTACGTGTAATATAATCAATGACAATTGTTCTGCGTCATCAATGAGTAATACATTATATCATTCACAGTTGCACATTCGTTATCAAACCCAAACAGGAAAGATCTGTTCTAAGTCCAGTTAACTCTCGTTGTTTCGATCAAGGTTGACTAGAAATTTCGGATGAATCAAAGTTTTCCTGTGGTCCCGAACTTTGTTCCATATAAATACATGTATTTCGACTCCTGATGAGTCGAAATTTCGGTTGACTTGAACCAAATTTAAGGTCCCAAGGTTAACAAAATCATGCACATGGCATTATTATCTCGAATTAATACACATATGTCAAAACATGACCTCGGGGATTTAAATGGGTTGAAGAGTTCATATGAAAATACACGTCGTGTAATTAAATTTCAGGTCACTGCCCGCTGTCTTAATTTATGACATTATTTTTCCACGAGTGTTTACCTAAGATTATCATCATGATAAACAATTAGGGATACATTGTTATAGTTTATGAAAAAATATTTAAAATGTTTAAAAAGCAATTGCCCGTAATCATGCATTAATTAGCTTGTTTGTGCATAAAGTAGGTATGAGGAAAAAGTGATCAACTCAAAACTACTCAATCTTTAATATTTTTTGTATTTTCGCTAGCAAAAAAAAGATTGAAATAAAAGAAAAAATGAAAAATTCTAAATATTCTCAAATCTCTTGTATACGAGAATGAACAATTTTTGTCCACTCTAAATCACACGTAGGTCGATTGGAAATTACACTCCCGGCTGAAAACAACTGGAAAAAAATTGTAACTGTACAAAGAAAGAAATAACAGACGAAAAATTGTATAACTTTATTATAATTACAAAAGACAGTATCTGCATACAGATACATCGATCTAAGACCAGAATATCGATCCCCTACCCATACTATTCTGAATTTGTCTGTCACACTTTCGGGTATTCGTTTGAGTCGAACTACGGATATCTCGAAATATTTCTCTGGTCCGACTGACTTCGAGATAAAAAGAGACGACTGTATAATGATAGGTTTTTTCCAATATAACATATGTCTAATTCTAGGAGAGTCATTCCTTTTGAGTTTCCACGATGTAACAAAATAGTGATAATAAAAAACGATACACCTGCCTCAGTATTGTGATTACAAGAAAAGAGAAAAGATCATGCATTTTAAATTAAAAATTTAAGAAAATTTCTATTTTGTAGAAAATTGTGCATTATTTACATAAAGTCATACGCTGTCATACTACTGCATTCTAACTTAAAATGAAATAACAATACTGTACTTATTGTAATGGAGGATTGTACACAGTGCAACTAATGGATAAGAAACTGTCTCTACAATTCTGGGGTTAGTTAGTTCGACCTTGGTTTAAAGGGGGGGGGGGGGGGGGGGGTTGTGTTGCTCAATCTTTATTTTTTACCTCTTTGTTTTAATGTTAACATATAAAATTCATTGACAAAACAGGAGAAACAACCACAAATATTTCAACTGAGTTGAAAAAATGAAAATAACTTTCGACATGATACATGCATTGATAAAAACGTTATATTGACCAGTATTACGGCGCAAATCTTCAATTTGCATGTTGGATTACGAAAAGCCTCACGTCGGGAGCCAATACATACATTAATTGTTGATGAGATACATGTATGAACAGACTCCGATTTGCACTAGATCACACACCGATTCGAAGTTTTAACACAAACCAATGTAACAAAACTGCAGTCCCCATTGAGACATATAGACCCTCCGGGAAATAAATTGTTTACTCGTAAACATTGAGGGTATATCTTGGAGATGCAGCAAATATTTGATTTGGCCCCGTTCAAAACCATACTCACGATATAAGCCATCGTGACGTGCACACTACTAAGAGATATACGAGATGGTTCAAATTTGTATGACAGTCTAGCAGGTCAGCAGTTTCATCCAAGATATTAGTGCTTTACGTCTAGCGGAGAAGATGCAGTGCATATTCAGGATAATATCACACTTTGTACTGGACAAGCGCGCTTGTTTGGATTTACAACATGCAATCTTAAGATAAGGCTTGATGGACGACAGGTCACTCCACCGGGACACATTACTCCGAATCAATACTGCACGCGACAAGGTTTGTTCTAAATGCCTTGTCCTTGGCGGGGAAACATCAAATTCCAATTAAGAAAAAAAAAAGGGTTTGGGCCAACGAACTTTAACACTTTTGGTAAGTACTACTACTTCAAATCTATTGACGCGTTTTAATATATAAAAGTGTTCTTCTAAATAAAATAAAACGGGTCAACCTATTTAAGTGAATAGTGATTTATAACATTTATCTAATTTAAACTTCAAATTTATTAAGTAAGCCTAATTCAAACGAGAACAGAAATAGCTCAGGATACGTTATAAATGAGACATCTTTCAATTTTTATAATCTTTCCTTTAGACAACCAACGAGCTGTTCTCTGTATGTCTTCTGATAGTAGTTAGCAGCTGAATAATTGCCATGAATGACGTAAGAATTTAACATTTTCATCCTAAATCTGGTGCAAAAAATCGTTCTTTTTTCTACATTGAACTATATTTTCGTGCTGGAGGATCGCAAATCGAAACTGGCTTTTCGTATTTTTCCTTAAGAAAGGGGTCGATAGTTAATAGACATCTTATTTTTACCAATGGTTTGATAAAAGTCATATACTTGATGAATATACTGACATGCTCAGGAAATGAAAATGATTGGAAAGGGCTACAATTTCCCGAACATGAATTGACAATGTGTAAATTCGACGGGAAATATGTTGTAAATGTCCTTCATAATACCTTATGAACTTGTTTGCATATAATAATAGAAAATTTTGTGAATGTATTATGACTAACAATACCAAAACCATCGTATATCATTCTGATTCATGCAGTGAACAAATTTGCCACTGGATTTAAGCATACAACAACCAATCACATCCATTTAATGGAGAATTATTTCTTTTCTTGCTATTAACTATCGTTCAAAAATAGAATGTCGCTACGGGTAAAAATTAAGACGAACTATTTTACATAAATAATAAAGGCGCTTTTTTCTAAATACATCATTTGATATTTATCAACATGAACTCATTCTTACTAAACCGAACATTAAAAGTGGTTGTTATCTTCTCAGACTTTAATAAGAAACTCTAAAGGAAATCTTTCAACTAAAATGTATGACAAGCAGGACGACCTATCTTTCTTACTATCAAATTATATTTCCCTGATGGCAATGTTTCGTTTTGGAGTGTACTCTTGGAAATATTAGGTTTAAAGCAAGCAAGCATTATACATGTTCTTCAAATTCTCGCTTTTGGCTTAATAAAAATAAAGATTTTGACTTAGCTGTTGTGATATTAATTTGTTCTCGTATTTTGTGTGTGTGTCTGTTTGTGGTAGGAACAATAACTCCGTAGTTTTACAGTTGGAAACCCGGATTAATGTTGATGTTTTCTGGTCTGTTAAAAATAATGTGGACTGGTAAAGCTTGCAATATCTGAGTTTAATAAGGCATGATTTCTGTATCAGCAGAAAAGTCTGAACTTGGTTTCAGAAACGTCGAGCATTCCTTTATAAAGTTCGGGCGGATGAATCACATCAAAATATGATGGTCATCTATTATCGAGAAAAAATGGTAATAAGAACTCTAGAAGATGTTTAGTCCAACATTTTGACTACCTGGCTACATCCCGTTCTTTATTAAGTTGTTTGTAAAGGTAAGACATCCAGTGTATTGATGTGAGATTTTTATCGTCTTTTTGATGTTAATACCAAAGGAGAAAAGGACGCAATTGTGATTTTCTAAAATCTCCTTTTTCTTGAATGAAGAATGGTTATATGTGGGATTGCCAGATTTGCTTTGAAGTTCTGCGTTGAGACTTTCTTGATAATGGTTTTTGCATATAAAACTGCTGGAACTACAAAATATTTGTCGTAAAGTGAGGATTAATCATCAATAACCCCGGGTTTCGTGAAAGGGCCATAAAACCCGTAATATCATAGTACATTGTAGATTTTGAATGCGCTACAGCTTTGGTCTTTTCAGTAAAAAGTCAAGTTCTGGTTTATCTGGCTCGCTTTTTACCCATGTTCTCAACTGTACCAGTAACCTGAAGTTTTTCCAGTTGATGGGCTAGGGAATTCGATATTTCGGGCCTTTGGTAACTCTCTCTCTCTGCTCATTGTTTACGATTCCGAGGTATCCAGTTATAGAATTTTTTATTATGTTTTTACAAAATGTTTTACCGAACTATTACGTCTGTGTCTCAACTCACAAGAAACATTTTTTCAACAGTGTTAGATCTTAAGCTAACAGAAAGTTGTCTGATCTGTACATTTATCGATTGTGTCCTATTTCACATAGTGACATTTTGGCTGAGCGTGTATTCGTATGTCTGGTGATGATATCATGAGATCATTGTCCTTTCGACGCACACAGTCTCTCTCCATTTGAAATTAATGCGATTCCCTCATGATATATTTTAATCTAGAATATTTACATTCCAAATGAATATCACGCGAACATCGGTAAATACCTTTTGCCTCTAATTTACTTTAACCCATTATTAATTCGCGTCTGTTAAATAAATATTGTAAAGTTACGCGACTGTTTTTATAATCTGATTTTCCACTAAGTTCTACGAATGTTTTCATTGTTTCTTATTCGACCGAACATTAGGGAAGGGTTGAATATCACCTTCTTATCTTAACTCTGGAAATTTAACACACGTCCAAAACATTTGAGACTTGACAGGGTAAGCGTCTCATGCTATGCATGTTTTTGGTGACAAAAGAATGTTACAGAGGGAAAGTATCGTTAGAAATTCTGAACATCATCATTCAAACGCATGACGATCGTGTGACGTTTAAGATTTCTTAATTTGAATTCTATCCTATGGTTGACATTAAACACTGGGCAAATGAGTCTGGAGAATGATATATTTGTCATTCAATAT